TAGTTTTAATGTTATGCATCTATTTCGACTAAATAAAGATTAGTGTAAGTTTTGTTTTTGTTTTTTTTTTACGAAAAGATGTGTAAGTTTATCATGTGTTGCAAATTGAGAATTAATTTGTGTATGGTTTCAGGAATTGGCTTTCCATGAAGAAGAGAGGACTCGAAACGAGCAGGTTAGGTTCATGGTTAAAAAATTTCTTGTAGAGATTTGGATGGTGTTGTATTTCTTAGGACATGAACACTACTCAGGAAATATGTTGTCCGGCCTGTACCTCTTTATTCATTTCACCTTATAATCATGTGGTTTCATTTGTAATCAACAGATGAATTAAGCAAAACCCTCACCAAAAGAAAGCAGGCTTTTTTTAGTCATTCTAAGATCTGAATCTTGGAACTTGACATGACCCTACTCTTTGACCGTTAAGCGAAGGACCAAGGCAATGGAGCAAATCCAAATGGCCTTACATTTTTTTTTCCCTCTATGTTGGATACTGACAATTGTGTTCCTGGTGTGCTGTTTTAATGCTCCAAAACAGATCCAAGCATCAATTGCCCAAATTTTTCAACGACAATCAGAAGCTCTAATCAGGAGACGCACATTTGGAAAAGATACACCAGATGCATTTATTACGAGATCGCAGCGCAATAATCGGAGTTCCTTTTTAAGGAGACGGAGCTCTCTAGCCACTGAAATTCAAGGATCTGTAGACAATGAGGATGAAAATGAAAATAATAACATGGGCAAAAATTCATCTTCCACTGATGAGCGGCGTACTGAAGTTACGCCAAGACGGCTGAGGAGACGGGCAGGATCTCGATGCTCTCAGCCTTCTTCATCACTGGCCAATTCAAGTGGCGGATGCACTGAAAATGATTTAGAAGTTAACCGAGAGAACCGCGGAATTTCTCCTGGTATTGTGTGGAGCTCTGAAATGCTTGCTTGGGGGCGGGGTGGTGCTCGAAGTCACACACGGCATGGCATTTCTAGTGGTTGCAGCAATAAGAATTCTCGGAGCACTCGCTTATCAAAGTTGGTTGATTATCTCCGGAGCATAGAGGAAAACAATGATGAGGTATAGGGATATTGTGTTGGACTATTTGTTGGGTCATTTAGGTCCATTCATTACATGTGCCACCCGTGGAGTATCTTGCTGAATTGTAGTTTCTTGGGGGCTCGAATGAGATACTATTAACTAGTTACTTTGGCTTTCACTGAGCATCGCAGTGACCCAATTAGAATCAGTACTGCTTTCTTTTTCGTGGTTTTGTATCCCCTTTGATGAAATACTTCTTTGTCTGCAGTTAGATGTTCATCTCATGCTTATTTCTTTGGATAAAAGATGTACACCAAGTTTGCAGCAGCCACACCTATGCTGTCGGTCAAGTTTGTCAGTCAAGCACCTTTGTGATGTGAGATTATTCTCCTGATATTACTAATCTAAAGATGTAAATTTCACTTGTGAAACTTGCCTTTGACTATGTAAAAGTTATGATTTCTTCTTGTGCTTTTTTGGATTGAGAGTTACAATTGGGCTGCGAAACTTACTAGTCATGCCTCTTTACAGCATCCTCTGCTGGAATTTTTGTTTGCATACTATTGATAGAGAACACAAGCATGACTCATTCTAATAATATGGTCAACCTTAAGTTTACGAGTTGTTCATTCTGAAAATGTTAATGTACTGCCCTTTATTTCTTTGGTGTTCTTCTACATTACACAATACCCATGTGCCTGTGTAATTTTCCCATGCATTTTTTTTTACAGTATGTATCTCGCCAGACGCCTTTGCTAGCAGAAGAAGTTGAATTTTTGGCAGTCAAAGGGTATCACAGTTCCAATGACGAGAAGTTGACCCTAAACCCTTCATCCTTAATGAATGATCTAGATTCTGCACCCCTTCTAGTTGATCCATGCAGATATGACCTGCAAATTCTGCAAGCAGAAGAAACTTTGGGAGGGATTAAAGCCATTTGCACTTCCAGCAGGGACCATTTGGTGAGTAGACATTAGAAGGGTTATTGTGAGCTCTCAATTTTACAAGCTCTCTTAAGATCTCTACTTTTTACTATTGCCAAGCTAATAGGTGCACACAACTCATCTTTGGAAAGAATATTGATCCAATGAGCAAAATTTAGTCGAACGTTTCAATAATAAGCATAGATCAAATAACAAATGCATCTGCTAGTTAAAGTTTTCTCTGATTGCATTTCATTTTACTGTTTTGAGCTTAAAATGAGAGAACAGAGTAACTTTTGATGCTCAAATGTGAAGATGCTTACATGATTTGCAGTGCCGAAAACACTATTTGAAAGACAGAATGCTTATAATAAGATCCATGAAACTCCTTCATATGGCAGTATTTGTAGCCATATTGTACAAATTGTCCTTATTGTCAATTATTTGAACCGGTTTGAAGAACGCAAGCCATTCATTCACTATTTTCGGTTTTAAAAGTTATTATCATTAACACCATAAATAAAGTTTTAAATTCATTTAAAATCCTTTCAAATTTTTTAAAATGATTTTTAAACTTATTTCTACTGTTAATGGTATTAAAATGACCTTTAAAATCTCTACATAATGGTTGCATGAGTAATTTTCTCTTGCTAGACAGTGGTGTATTGTGGCTAGAATCATGTGTGAATATGCAGTCCTGTTTATAATCTGACTGTTTGGCAAGAGATCATTCTCTATGATTGCATTGATATCAACAATAGTCAATGAACACTAAATCAATATCTGCTACTCTTTTCAGATTCTAGCATACAGACGGAAGGAGATTTAGTTAGGAAATTTCAGACTTGTCAACTAAATTCGTACGAGAAGATTGTTGTATCTGGCTGTTGATAAAAGAGTTACTGTAAATCGATGTAGTAAAAGATAGATACCGGGATGCATTAATCCCCAATTCAGACATTGCTGTATTCTTGATGTTGTAAACACATGTTTCTATTGTTTGTGTAATTTGGTGATGTTACTTTTTGTGGCTTCATTTTAGCAGAAACGATGCTTACAATACATCAGTGGCAATTTATATTTTATTTTTACAATTATGGGCAGGCTTTTTCGGATTTCCCAAATCCCACTCAACTCTCACACGCTAAATATAGCGGCTGATCTGTGGTATTATATTTTTTACACAAATTTTAGATCCTTGGATGAGATGAAATTTGACACGGCAAGTTTTCGAGAGGAATTGGTAAGCTGAGGTTGAGATTAAATCTGATATGACAAGTTAGTTTTTAGTTTTTGAGGGTTTAGGGGATTTGGAGGATCACTTTTCCTTGCTTCTTTGTGCTCAGACTGTAGAATTCATTCCACTCATTCATCTTCATTCTTCATTCTCAAAATAGCTCCGGGCCAGTTCATCTTCCTTCTTTCAAGTACGTAGGGTTTCTCTCCTTTTAGATCTTTTGTGCCAAAGATAGTCTCTCTCATCTCCATCTAATGCTATCTCATAATTTTTTTTCATCTCAGTGCATTATTTCCCTAGTATGGCTCACGCCCTAGATTTTTCTTCCAGATCACTTTTATTAAGGTAAAGATAAATAAATGATATTAAATAGGGAAGAGAGAGAAATATTAGGTTAAGGAGAGGTAGCTTAAAAATGCAATAATGAAAAGCAAACATGAGCTTAATCAAAGTTGGCTAGAGAGGATATGCTCCTCACTTTACACCAAATTCGAATCCCCCTACCCATGGTTTAGATTAGATTAAAATAGAATATCATTTTTTTTTTTTTTTAAAAGCAATAACAAAAAATGAAATTCACCGTTGTTACAATTTAGTTTATATTTTACTTAATTCACATGGCGATATGTGGATCAAACAACTTGATGTGTGAGGGTTAAACCTTTTTTGTTTTTTTTTGTTTGAAGGGTTAAACTAGGATAGAGAGCACTAAAGCGGACTCAAAGCTGATAGTTTCGTAAATTTCAAGTGCGTTTTTGTGATAAAAACCCTTAAAAATATTTGAAATTTTTGAAGAAAGAATTATATTGCTGGGTGTCCTGTGATCACCTTTTCTTTTGGGTGTGATTAAGTAAAATAATGGCTTATTTACTGTAGTGTCCCCCAAAATTATGGTCAAATCTTACATTGCCCCCCGAAAGTTGAAGTGGCCCTACTTGCCCCCTTGACCAAGGTTTGGTAAATCACTTTACCCCCTATCATCATCTCCTTTCTTGACTCCGTCATTTTTTATGATGTGGCAGGGGTATTTCAATCCTTTTAGCTCACATGGCTCCCCACCCCCTGTCCACACTTGTGACATGGCAATAATGGGGCCCACCCGTAAAAATTTCAAAGCTCTCAACAAAAAATTGTCTACAACCCTAAAAATTGTGCATTTGTTTGAATTGCGTCAACAAGCTCCAAAATTGTTCAATTAAACGGTCTACCAAGCTCTAAAATTTGGCCTTTGCTTGATTTGAACTAAAAGTTGAAGATGAAGCACCAACTTCCATAAGCAGAAGAGGCGAACGTTGCACAAATGCAACAATTGCTTACTAAGTTATCCGAACACAATTATATTGAGTGGCATAGGACAACTAGTGATATTATAATTGACTTGTTTTGGACACACCCCATTAATATTGAGATTTTGCGTGTAATTAACTAAATAATTAATTTAAATCTTAAATGCCCAAGTGCCTCAAGGCCCAATGCCATCTTTTTGATAATTAAATATTAAATATTATATATTTAATGCCCAAGTTGAATTTGAAGCCCAATTGGCTTCTATTTGGCCCAACTCCTAATTACCTTGTGTGGGCCAACTTCCAATTACCTAGCATGGCCCAGCTCCCAAGTGCCCAATGTATTTTGATAGTATAGCCGTGCGGCTATACTATCTTTCAAACAAATTTTTAAAAAACCCAGTATAGCCGGCCCACTATACCTTTGAAATTTATTATCTTTAGAGAGTATAAGACTAATAGGTACCGTTTCCTACTATTGCAAATTATGGGGGTGACATCTACTAATATGACATTCTCTATTGCGTATGTGTATATGAATGCCGAGAAGGAAGACAATCATGAATAGTAGCTACATCTTCAACTTCTGCGTTAACATTACTATCATGAGTAGGAGCTACATCTTCAACTTTTGTGGTATCCTCAAAGTGATCTTGGGGAGCCGTTCTCTGTCTCCTTGTTGAGGTTGTGGGACGCTGTCTATCAGGTTGAGATGATGAAGCCACAGTATTACCATTGCGAATCCTCTTCATATCTAAAAAACAAATATCAAGTACAAACTCAGTAATGGATTCGGTAGATGATCACTAAAAAATGAAAACAAATTCGGTGGACAATCATTGAAAAACGGAAATATATTTGGTGGAGTACCACTAAAAAAAAAATACATTTGGTGGACAGCTACCAAAAAACAGAATCAAATTCGGCGGACTACCGCCGGAACAAGATAACGATTTTGGTGGTAACCCTCTGAAAGTAAAATTAATTTTTGTACAGACTAGGTTCAATTTCAGTGGACTACCACTGAAACAATGTAACCATTTCGGTGGTAACCCATCGAAAGTAAAATCCAGTTTCGTAAAACTAGGTTCCAACCATACACCCACAAAGTTGAAATAAAAACTTAAAATCATACTTTGGCTTTTCAAAAGTGAAATCAAACCTAGGCTTAATCAACACTTAGAAATGTAAATATAGAAATCAAACCTTGGCTTTTGGAAGGATTTTGAGGTTAGATGAGATTGTGAAAACTTGACAAATTGTCTATGGACGTTTGCGATGGCTGAGGCGATGGTGGTTTGCGATGGGGTGAGGCATTTAGGGTTGGCGATGGGGTTGGGGTTTGTTGCAATGGCTCTGTTTCAAATTGGATGGGGTGTGCGATGGAGTTTGTTGAAATCTGATGGGGTGTGCGATGGGGTGAGTATGCAAGAGGAGGGAATTTTCGATGGGGTGGGGCTTGATATGGGATGAGGTGGGGTTTGATATGAGATGGGGTGTGTATGAAAGAGAATGGGGTTTTCGATAGGGGTGGGCACGGTTCGGGTTGGACCGGTTTTTGTCTCAAATTAGAACCGATCTGGTACTATTCATCCTATTTGGTTCGGTTCGATTTTAATAAAAATATTTCAAAAACTTTCCGGTTTGGGTTGAACCAGCTTCGGTTCGGTTCGGTTTTGAACCAAATTATAAAAATTATTTTTTAATACAATTTTCAACTGAAATATTATTATTTTTACTTGAAAATTAACAAATTATTCAATTTCATATAGAAATAAATATTAAAGTTAGAAAAGAGAGATATTTTGAAATTGAATATTTTTTTAATTTGACTGGCTCGATTTGGTTTTTGAAGACATGTAACTGAATCCAAAACTAGTCCGGTTTGGTTTTTGACCGATTGTTGACTTTTTGGTCAACTCGGTTTTTTTTCTGGTTTGGTTCGGTGCGATTTGGCTCGAATTTCCGGTTCGCCGGTTTGAGTGTCCACCCCTAATTTTCGATGGATGGTGTATGATATGAGATGAGGTTTAAGTTAGGGAATGAGGTTCATAAGGGCAATTTTGAAAGAAAAATGGGGTATAATGAGTAATTTTAAATTTTATTAAAATTTAGTGGGATGTAAAGAGAATGTCGGGCGCAAAGAGTAAATAATGGGGTTCATCTATATATATATATATATATAAAGCAAAAGAAAGAGAATGGTGAAACATTCAAAATACTAAAAAATGCCCTTGGTTCAAATATTAAGAATTGAAATTATTAATTAAATGAGGATAATATGGTAAATTCATATTTTTCATATTAAAAAAAATTAAAAATAAAAACAAAATCAGATAATAAGTTCTACTTTTATGAAACATAACGACCCATATTATCTTTTCTTAATTTAAAAATAAAAATAAAAACCAATGAGCATGTGCCAAGGGCTAGTATTTCTCTAAAGCAAAACACTCGAGGCGTTCCAATTTGCAAAGTTCTCACCTTTCCACTTCCGACGCTAAACACTGAAAAGGAAGCCTAAATCCTCCTTCTCACTCTGAGAGTGACGCAAAACGTGGTGAGCATTCTCTCCGACTCTTTCTCTAACTTTTTATTTTGTTAATTCGTTCCATTTACGTTGGAGATGTTTTGATAATTTTTTTCAGAACTAGGTTAGGCTGTGTGAGCCAATACTTATTGCAAACCCATTCGGAACAAGTTGCTTACAAATCAGAATTTTGGTTAAATTGTTGCAAGTTGTGTTGATTGTCCAGTTGGGTTTGTTGGATATCTTGTGGTCGAACTAGGGGATCCATAAATTAATAGTCAGTGTTCAAATAAATGCTCAGTATCCTTGCTGAATTTGAGGAATGCTGTAGTTGTTTGAATGATGTTTGACAAAAGTCCTGAGTCATAGTTGGTTCTGTTTCATATGATAAACAAAATTCTTTACTGATAGTACAGGAAACGGTGTTTCAATTGGTTTCACTCCTACATATATGATATCATTGCCACTATATCATTCCTCTATTTGGATGAAAATCACAGAGTTGTTCCCATTTGGTGGACTAATGACGGTGCCGGCACAAGAGGTTAGAGTTGAGAACTGATACTCTGGGAGGATCATTAAAAACCAGAAAGTGAGATTGGACAAGAGAATGGACATTTAAGATTCTATCGTATGGTTACTGTATTGGATACAGTTGAAGGGTAAGGAGCAACAATAACATCTAGAATGAGGACTACAGTTTTTGCCAATGCTAAACGAATGCTGCAATAAGATTCTAGAAATTGATAATGATCTAGATGATATGTTAAGTCTTTTGCATTAGTAACTTTTTCATTGGTTTACCTTGTCAATGGTTAGGTAGTATTGTTATTATTCTTCATTTTTATTTTTATTTTCGGTTGAAATCTTAACAAGATTTATACAATTTAACCAACTTCTTGAAATTTGTTTCTTATCAGGGTTTTACACATTGTGGTATATGGGGACTCCAGAAGCAGAGTACGCTGCATTTGAGGAGAAGGTCAAACGAACTGTTTACCTAGATAACATCTCACCACAGGTCACCGATATTGTTGTCAGAACTGCTCTTTCTCAGTTTGGGACTGTGAAAAATGTTCAGTTCATTCCAGACTACTTCAAATCAAGGAACATCGGACAGTGTGCAGTGGTGGAGATGGAGAACCCTAAACAGGCTGATGCTATTGTCTCAGAGATAGCTCAATTCCCATTCATGATGGCGGGGATGCCAAGGCCTGTGAGGGCATGTCCTGCTAAAGTGGAGATGTTTGATGATCGCCCTGCAAAGCCTGGAAGAAATATATCTTGTCGTTGGTTGGAGCCAAATGATCCTGATTTTGAAGTGGCACAAAAACTGAAGCGTCTTACTAAAAAGCATGCTGCTGAAGCGTCATCTTTGCTCAAGCAACAACTCCAGGAAGAAGAGAATCTTGCGAAGCAGCAGAATGAGGCTCTTAAAGCAAATCATAAGAAGTATGAAATGATAGATAGTGTGATAGCTGATGGAACTGCTCGTCATTTGGCAAAGCGTTATAAAATGAGAATTGCAGATGACTGATAGGTTTTTTGTTGAGGTTCTCCCTCGAGAAAGTTCAGTAAATTTGTAAAAAATGTAGTCGTTAGTACATGATGGTTGCTTCTAGCAAAGGACTTCATTTGCTTGGAAAAAGAGTTCAGTTTGCGAGTATCCTATTGTTCTTTTGATGACTTGTGATATATGCTGTTGCCTTTTTTTTTCTTTCTTTCTTTAATATACATCTTTTTTATATTTTTAATATTTTATAAATATATGATAATGGAAAATGATAAGGATGAGTTGTGTAATAGCATCTGCCTAGGTTCTATTTCCTAACCCAGAGCTGTCAAGTTGTCTGCCAAAGAGATCTTTAAAGTTGATTTTGCAATGATTTCTTGTCTTTTTCTTTCCCTGGGTTTGGCATTGGACTTGCAACTTGTTGCTTGGAATAAGAATAAAGCCAAGGCAGGTATCAGATTTATGATGCAGATAGGCAATTACCTTATTAGGTTCGTCCCATTTTGAGTCTCTGCAGATAAATATCTAGAGGCTTCACCAAAACAGAAAGCCTGGCTTAATTTCAAAGCCATGCTTATTTGTTATTTTTAGGGGTTGAACAGAAGTGTTGGAGAAACATTTTCTATGCGCTTCGATATTGGACTCATTTTCGGTGTGAAACCAAGCATTTCAGCCCATTTTTATGAGTAAACAGAATTAGGCCTAAGATAACGCAGGGTGATCCAATACTTATCCATGCTCAAATTTAAACACACAAAAATTGCTAAAATTAAATGTACAAAGAACAAAATCCAGACTCAAGCTTCAGGGATGAAAACTGAAATTTGGCCCTTCTAATATCTAATGAACCTACCTTAAAACTTCATACAAAAATGTTGAGTATGATTAGAAAAGAGAGAGAGAGAGAGAGAGAGAGAGAGAGAGAGAGAGAGAGAGGAGAGCGAATGACATTCAATTGGCATTCATGGGTTGTCATTGTAATTGAAACTTTACAGTAATCTTGAAAGAATTGTGTTCAGTTGGCGTCAAAAGAATGGTACACTAATTCTGTTAAGCTAGGAATTGGAGGTACAGCGGTACAGGATTCAAGAGTTCTTGAACAAACTACATTTCAATATCATCTCATCTGCGCGGCAGCGCTGGAAACGGCAGAGTTGATCATCATCCTACGCCTTTCTTTCCTTTCAAGCACACGTAAATGTGGCGACTTTGCTTTTGTTGGTTCCTTTGGACACCTAGATCATGAAACAAACCAATATCAATCAAGACAAGAAAAATGCAGCAATTTTTATAGAAGTAATGAGCAATATTTATTCTTAAGCTTGCATTTTTGTTATTTCCTTACTTCTGGGGGCAGAATGGATGCTCAAAATTAGGCACTGGCCTTGCATGGGGTACCAGAGTCCTTCGTAGTTGCTTCAATGCCTTCTCTTCCTCCACCTGCAAATGTTTCAAGTATATTTCAATTAAATCAAGCAAGCTAGTAGTATCAAACAACTATACAAAAGCAGGCACGGAAACACACATACCATCCTTGCTGCATCACTCTCTTCTCTGTATCTCTTGTACATCATTTCTTTCTCCCTAACCTGTAGATCTTAACTTTGTTAGTACTGGAAAACAATGTTCTTTTTACTTTATTTTTTAGTTTCAGTGACTTTCCTATTTTTTTTACTGAAGGAGAGAGTAACAATGTTACCTTTTGATCAAATTCTGCTCTACCAACAGCCCGATGATCAACATGGAGATTGAATTGTTGAACTTGGGTAAGAGGCTTGCGCACTTTTTCTGGAACAGGAATTGGGTCCCTGAATGAAAGTGGGATATATTATTCATGTTTTTATGAATTATACCTTGTACCAAGTCTATATAAATTCAAAAAATTCAAAAAATAGAATTTAGTTTGCTTACTCTTTCAAGATTGGTTGTGCCTTAAAAAGTCTTATCTGGGCTGCTTGTTTCTCCAGCCTCTGTCTTTCTTCCATATCCCTCTGCAATTCCTCCTCATGCCTCACCAAACTCTCTAGTTGGAAAGGTTCTGGTTTTGTGCATTGCTTGGGCTCTGGTTTGAGTGGGATCTGCATTTAAGACAGCATGAACCATTGTATCATCTTTCTTGCAATTGCATGTAATTAAAACTCATAAAAATATTGTTAAGTTTCTGTACCACAGGGTAATCAGTGGTATAAGGATATGGATTAGCTTTGGGAACCCTATCTCTTTCTTCCTCCAATTGCTTCTGCCACACTTCGGTAATAAATTTCCTTTCTTTCTCAGCCCCTCTTTCCTGATGACATAAAGACATAACAAATAAGCAGGTAAAAAGCAGATTGCATCACTGAATTGGCTAACTTGTAAAGCTGAAGGAAAGGATTGTCATACCTCTGTGTGGAGATGGAATGGGTTTGGTGTTGTGTTTCTAGGAATTGGATGCTGGTGGGGCTCTGAGTTCAAAGACAACTGTAAAACAAAAAGAAAGATGCATAAGAAGCTGTACTCATACTTTCTTACTTTTCTTTTGTAGCAAGTTCAAAAACATTCATTCCACTACCTTATCAAATATATCAAAAATGGAAGAAGGCGGCGGTGGTATTCTTTCATTTGTTGCAAAATGGAATTCCTGAGGTTTAGTCACATTTTTCTTGGCATTACAGAATACCCCCAGATCTCCTTTACTTTCAAATATCTACAAACATTTTACAGAAGGAACATTAGATATCAATTCCAAATGTTTCTAAGATGAATATAATTAGGAAATGAAAAGGTTGGAAGTACCTTCTTGTTTAGAGGTTTCGCCTTAAATTTTGGGATTCTTTCAAGTTCTTCCTGCTCAATTTCAAACGAACTTTTCACCCTGGGTGGACGGGCCCTCAATGATGTATGTAGCACAGGGGTTTTAGGTTCAGTAAGATGATGAGACTTCCCTTGATTATTCTATGATGCAATGGAGAAAAAAAAGAACATTGTCACCTCAATTGGCTTAGCAATAACATTGTCACACCTCAATTGTCACCTCAATATGGTTCTATTTATACCTGACGGGACACCTCCGTTGAAGCTACTGAAGCCGTTTCTGCATTCTGGTTTGCCCTTGCCATTGTCTCCAAATGGAATTCCTGCATCAATTAGATATAAGAGTCTTATTATTCACAGAAAATCTTGTATTTACTTCTAAGCAACATCCAGTCTACAAAACTTTACCTGAAATTCCGGTGGCTGAGGTGTACTTCTCGGTATTGCAGGTAATGATGGGGCTTCTAGAATCTGTAATGAGCAACAAGATCCCAATGAATCCAACAAATATAGGCTGAAAATCAAATGAGGAATAAAAAAATAGTAAAACAAATTACAAAGTTACCTTTTTGTTTAGTGGTCGAGCCTTAAACTTCGGAATTTTGGCCATCATCTCTTCTTCAAGCTCAGCAGTACTCTTTACTCTCACTGATCGAACACGTTGGGATGTTTCAAATTCAGGCTCCTTAGGCCTTGTCAAGGTGAGTTTGGGCTTCATCTGAATAACATAAACAACATTAACCTCAATACTAAATATGTTGACAAAATAAAACCAAAGGAAACATGAAAAAGAACTCAAAGAAATCACAGACGTAGATAAGTATCTTTACTTGTGAAAGAGAACCAACATGCTGCAGTGACAAGTCTCTGGTACTTGATTGGAACCTTTTCATCATTTCAGCCATTGAAACAAATGGTGCTGCAGATTCCCGAACATACACCTTTCTGTCCTCTTTTTGCATAGTAGCAGTTGAAGAGCTTAAATTGAAACTCCCACTGGTATGACCCAATTTTGACTTGTGGGGCAACGTTTGGGGTTTGGGATTAAGAATCTGTATTTTGAGGAGGGGACAAAAAGAAAACCAATTAAGGAAAATGTCTAGAAATAACAGTCAAGTTAATACAGAAGTAAAAGTTACCTGTCTAGATCTTCCTCCGTCCAACTTCTGTCGCTTAATTGCCTGATTTTCCTGAGCTAAATTGGGAGTCCCAGTTGCATTTTTCACATTTTTTTCTCTGGAAGTTCAGTAAAGTATGTAATCAGTACATTGGCATGTATGAATAAATTAACACATACATCATGATATACACGAACCTTTTCACACTACTTGGTTTGATGTTTTTAGTTTGTGACGACTGTAAGTGACTTTTTTGCTTCAGTGCTGACGGGTTTTTGACAATGCTTGCTATCTTTTTAGCTGTCTGGTCCTCCCCTTTATCAACTTCGCTAATACTCTTATCAGCAGAGACCTAAATGGATTATATCATGATTAGATGCGAAAATTAATCAATTTTGGCTTTTCAGAGGAGTAAAAGTTCAAATTATTACATTGGCTTGGCTTACATTGCTTTCTTCTTTAGCTTCCCTGGGGATTATATCAACTTTGACTTCAGCAGGTATGAGCTCCGATTGAGGCTTAGTTTCCACAGACTTATCATTAGCTTTTAATTCAGAAGATGATTCCAAGTTCTGCAAAAGATAAAAGCGCAATAAGCTAGAAGTCCAAACCTTAAAGATTATAGAAGGAAAAAATTAGAAGATATACCTTCTGCATTTCCTCGGCTTCACTAAAATCGCACATGCTCTCAACCGTAAAAGATCTACCAGCCTTGATCCTAGGCATGAAGGCTGCACAAATAAACGAGTACCAATATAATCAAAACCTTTACATTTCTTATGCGCCAGAAGAAACAACAAAATAGGTCATGCTTGCGCAAACATAAAATTCACTTTCACTGAGAGATGTAGATGTGTAGATTAAAAGCATAGCCAATATGACAGTTCCCTGCTCCTTCAAAAGAAAATTCCAGTTAAATTATACTCCAAAAATATGTAAATTGTGAACCTAATGGCAAGTTTCGGAAAGAAATGAAGGAAATCCCAAAACTTTAAATCTTAAAATTCTTTTAACAGCTTCACTAGGAATGTTATCCTGATCAAAAAATCTCTCTCACTCAATTTGATCAACTGTAGTTAGAATTTTCTGGAAGCATAACCTCTGTTTAATTTC